TATGTGGGGAAAGGTAATCCATCCCCATTACAAGCCCATACCTACAGGCTTCCTTTATCACGAAAATGGCTACAATTAGCCAAAAGGGGCACATTTACAAAAATTTTCCTGTGATGTTCCATCGAGAAAAGAGCAAAAATCAGCTTCACACCTGGAGGCTTCCTGTATTGGGCACAGTCCAGAGAAAGAAGATCACCAGAGTATTAAGATGCATCTGTAAGAACATGTAATGCTTCCGTGTTCCACACATTACATCTCACCAGTTTAGTCAATATGGATTAAATATGAGAGTGTGGCAATTCACAAACTCTATCTGAGGAGGAAAATAGGATAAAAAAAGTTCAGGAAAATAAAGCAATTTGAAGGCTCTGACAATAGCACCTTCAGCGCCAAGGAAATGATTTCACCCTTATTAGCCTCATTTACTTTTCATGGCACGTCTGCAGGGTTCCAAAGTGAGACCAGCTGAATTCAATGTGCATGCACTTCCCAGGTGTCTACTTGTATTCTGTTTTCTTTACTTCTGTTTGCAGAAAGTAGACACATACTCATCCTTAGTGCCAGTGTAGGGAGTGCTTTCCTTGACATGGATACCAGAAAAGAAAGGAAAACAATGGGCCGATTAAGGGTAAAATTAGCCACAGTGTGCGTGTGTGTGTGTGTATGTGTGTGTGTGTTATTTGAATACTAGAGTTGAATTGGGCATCCGTCCACGTGCAACTGCACCTGCAGATATTCTCAGGTGCAATAATCAACTACAGGACCCTAAAGAAAATAAGAATCCCCCGCCAAATCCCTGAAGAGTTTTTGGGTTCACCATATGTCAAACGATTCAGTGCCTCTGGAGCTCCAGGAAAGGGCTCCCCAGTGATGCATGAGATCTTTTCTTCGGGTCTCCCTGTAGAGTTCTGAGTTTCCTAAGGCCAATTCAGTATTTCAAAAGATGGTGTGAGAAGCACGTTGTGTCACTAAAGGAGAATTCTGAGCCAGGGCACAGCCACTTTATACCGGGCTAGAGACACTGGTAGGAATATACTCTGTAAGCTCAGACAGAAACGCTCCTGCTGGGTAGGGGCTGGGCTGCAGGGGGCGCTCAGGATAAACCCAGCACAGGCTCCCACCCCAGAGCAGGTGCACAACAAGCTGTGGAGAGGTTCCTCTCACGGCCCCGGACTTCCTTTAAAAATATCTAATATAAGTATTTCACAAGGACTTCTGATGTTTGTATAAATATTCCATTCAACTGTGAGCATTCATCAAATTGGATGTTGTAATGAGAACCACTTCAGTGCACTTTTTGGAGAAACACACTCATTACCAAAATAACGCATTCACATATTAAGGTCTAGAAATGGTTCAAGTTGCCCCTGATTCATTCAAATGTGGATTCAAAGTGAGGTACGTGTCCTGGGGGAGCTTGTTCTCCAGTGGGGGAAGCTCTGTCAACACAGAGTTCAGGGATGTGTAGGGGTCACATGGCCTCTAACAGGATTGCAGCTTGAACCCTCAGCTTCTACAACTGTATCGTCCATGTGTCATGTATTTGCTCTTGCTCATACTGGGTCAGGAATTGGGCTATTAAATAGCATCCTTCAAGAATATGCAAATCACTGAAACTAATACAAATAACTCTGTGCCCTGAGAGCATCACCCAACAACCACACCCCTCCTCGGGACCACACCCTACCATGGATAGGACCTGCAGGCTCCTCTTCTTGGTGGCAGCAGCAAAAGTTAAGGGGCTCCCCAGTTCCAGGGCTGACAGAGAAACCAGGCCAGTCAAGTGGGACTTCCCGCAATCCTGTGTCCTCTCCACCGGTGCCCACTCCCAGGTGCAGCTGGTGCAGTTTGGGCCTGAGGTGAAGCAGCCTGTGGCCTCAGTGAAGGTCTCCTGCAAGGCTTCTGGTTACAGCTTTACCACCTATGGTATGAATTGGGTGAGACAGGTCCCTGGAGAAGGGCTTGAGTGGATGGGATGGATGACACCAACACTGGGAACCCAACGTATGCCCAGGGCTAAACAGGATGATTTGTCTTCTCCATAGACACCTCTGTCACCACGGCGTATCTGCAGATCAGCAGCCTAAAGGCTGAGGACACGGCCGTGCATTACTGTACGAGAGACATAGTGTGGAAACCCATATCCTGAGAGAGTCAGAAGCCCTGAGGGAAGAGGTAGCTGTGCTGAGCTGAGGCAGTGGTGCAGCAGTTTCTTTATCTTCCATATGATCTCATTTTGCATCAACTTCCACGGTTATATTAGCCATGAATGGGATAGACGGGTACTCCTAAGAGATCCCTAACTTGCCCGTTTTGATGGGTTTTCCAGAAGACGTGAGAAGCCACTTTGTTTGCAAAGCATCCCAAAGCCATGCCCTGCTCCACACACATGAGTGCCCATTTCCTGGTCTTTGGTTAACTGTAAAACGCTCATCAGTGCACCTGGGCTAATTTCACATCAGGTAGAGGAATGTGTTCTAAAGGAAAGCTAAAGTTGTAATACCAATTCCTGCTCGAATAAACTTCAGCTTCTTTTTTTTTTTTTTTTTTTTTGTGACCCATCAACTAATTGCGTTAGATCAAGGTTCTCAATGGGAGTTTCTAATAAGTATAAGGGATGTACGGAAGTTCCCTAAATAAAATAATACAGTTGTGAACACAACCTCAGTATTCAACCATGTCTCCACCCTTCACACCCTTCACACCCTTCACCACAAAGGAATTTTCATCTCTCTTGGAAGTTGGGTTCATTTTGAAATTAGTGATTTTTTTCATTTTAATATCTCAAGATTATCATATGTGACTATTTTTTCAGAAAGTGAGTTATGGGAACTTGAACTAAACAACTGAAAACAAATTCACAACTAATTAAACAAGATGACAGAAGGTGATAGGCTCCAGGCTTTGATAATTCAGCAGTTTATGTACCCAGACTTTAAACTTACCCATCTTCCTGTAACCTGCACAGTCAACTCCCATTATGAAAGAAATGGTGAGGGCATTCCCAAGGGTCATGCATAGTTACAAAAATAGACTGGGAAAGGTCAGGAGTTGATTGTTTAAATTTCTGTTTGAAGAAGTAGAGTCAACTACTTTTCTGAATGGCTCACAATAACTCCAGCTCACTCACAGAGTTCAGACAGAAACTGCCCTTCAGGGTGGGAGCTGGGCTGCAGAGGGCACTCTGTACCCATAAAGGTGAAAATGAGCTGTCAGATGGAACTTCCCTGTCACCTCAACATGGAATTTATTGTTTCATTTCATTTGGACTCTTTACATAACGGTTCGTTTGTTTTGGTCTGTTCATTACTTGTATTTTTCAAAGGAATCTCACTTGAATCTTTACTCTTTTGCATTTTGTCTCCAGGACAATGTTGGGAAGTGTTACCTCCAGCATCATAACATGATCTAGTGACCTGACACATTTGTGACAAAGAATACCTACCAATTCAGAAGCTCTTTGGTTTTCTTTCCATGAAATAGAATTATTTCTTCTGTTCTGTGTATGAGCATATCCTAGCAATCCTGTACACACCCACATAGATGTCTACAAGCCTATGAATTATTGTCTGTAAGTAAAAATTTATCTCAATTTCCCTCAATGGTCATAATTCTCCTGAAGGTGAGGAAGGTCTTTCTGGATCTGTTTAAACAAAATGTCCAGAGACCACCTGGTAGGTAATGAGTTCACCTGGCTCTGGATGTTGGATCTGTCTCTTTCCCTCTGTTGTCCCACAGGTCAGCTCACTTGTTCAGGTCCTAACAAGACAGCCCAGGTTTGTCCTGATGTTAAAACACACCCAACTTCTGATGACTCTCCTGTTACCCACGTCCATGAAGATAGATTATTTATTATATAATTCACCAAACTAATGTCAAATGCCCAAGTTGCAATACCACAAACTCTAAGGTATGTTCATGCAATTCAATGAAGGAGAAAGTCTTTCAGACACAGGTGCACCTGAAATGATAAATATGTGGGTGAGGACTCTGGGCTTGAGTGTCATTGTCCAGCCAAGTTTCAGAAGTGTGACCTGTCAGGGAAGAACCAGAGTTCCTTGTGCTCTCAGAGGGGAGGGCTCACACATGTCCTCTCTTGTTCCCAGGAAAGGCAATTGCACTAATCTTGATGATGAGACTATGCTGCTGTGCTGACGTATTATCGTTTTTGACTGAAATTTTCACTGTGATCCCCAATCTACATCTATTCACACAGAAGTGTATAAAGGTCAGGCCACATTCTCAGCATCACAGATTGAGACAGTTGGAGAGATATGTCCCACTACCTTCTCCTGAGATTGCAGACAGAATCCCAAATTTCAAACGGTCACAAAAGAGAAAGTCTCAGATATTTTTTTTATGATGCACTCTCTGGGACACACATATTCCCTCTAACCATGATGGATATTCTGAATTACAATAAACATCGCATGGATGTAGGTTTGTATAAATTCACTGTGACTAATATATTTAGCTGCTGCCCTAATGTTTTGAATGGAGATTTGACAATTTAGATAACCTGGATGTTTGGTTGGTTTCATATAAATCTTCACGGGTAGAACAGTATTGAACCTATTCCAAAAATCTGTCCTAGATCCATGATCACACTCATCTCCCAGACCAGCTCCTTCAGCACATCTCCCTACCTGGAAGAAGAGGACTCTGGGCTTGGTGAGGGGAGGCCCGAGGAAGAGAACTGAGTTCTCAGAGGGCACAGCCAGCATCCTCCTCTCAGGGTGAGCCCCAAAGACTGGGGCCTCCCTCATCCCTTTTCACCTCTCCATACAAAGGCACCACCCACATGCAAATCCTCACTTAGGCACCCACAGGAAACCACCACACATTTCCTTAAATTCAGGGTCCAGCTCACATGGGAAATGCTGAGAATCATGGACCTCCTGTGCAAGAACGTGAAGCACCTGTGGTTCTTCTTCCTCCTGGTGGCAGCTCCCAGATGTGAGTGTCTCAGGGATGCAGATATGACGATATGGGAGGTTGTCTCTGATCCCAGGGCTCACTGTGGGTCTCTCTGTTCACAGGGGTCCTGTCCCAGGTACAGCTGCAGGAGTCCGGCCCAGGAGTGGTGAAGCCTTCGGAGACCCTGTCCCTCACCTGCGCTGTCTCTGGTGGCTCCATCAGCGGTTACTACCTCTGGAGCTGGATCCGCCAGCCCCCAGGGAAGGGGCTGGAGTGGATTGGGTATATCTATGGT